TATTTTTTAGTAACTCTGAATACTGTCACCATTAACATGAAAATATGGAATGTTCTTTGGCCATACAGAAGATCTATTTTCCATTTTTTGAGGAAACTCCATCCTGCTTTTTATCATAGCAATGCTAACACACACGCACACGCGCGCACACACACACACACACACGCACACACGCACACACACACTATGCCAAGCTCCCTTTTTTTTTTAATAGTCGTACAAGCACTTGATGTTTTCAGTCTTTCTGATAACTGCTCTTACTGGAATGAGGTGATATCTCATTGTTTCTGATCTGCATTTTCCTGATGACAAATAATGTTGAACACCCCCCCCCCCATGCCTATTATGCATCTTAAGAAACATCAGCTAGGGCTATTGTTCATTTTTCAATATGATTGTTTTTTTTTTCCAGAGCTTTTGATTCCTTATACATTTCACTATCAACCCCTTTACAGATGAGTAATTTGTAAATATTTTCCCAGTTTTGTAGGTCACCTCCTTCCTCTGTTGATTATGTTGAGTTCATTTTTATAACCAATGAGAGACTGGGTTCATTTCAGTCTTCTGCAGCTGGACATCCAATGTCCCAGCACCACTGACCAGAAGGCCTGAATGTCCTTCAGGGTGTGTCTGCAGCACCTTTGATGAAAGTCAGCTGGCGCAAAAAGTAGGCTCCCTACTGTGGTCCACTGCTCTGTGTGTCTGCATTTATGCTAATGCTACACTGATTTGTGTATGTGTGTTTGTGTGGAGCTGACAGTCAAGCCCAAGGCCTTGCACATATGAAGGGAAGTGAGGTGCTGCTGAGCTATACCCCCAGGTTCTACTAGGCTATTTGATTACAACTCTGTAGAACACTTTGAAAGTAATGTGTATGGGTATGTTCACATGCGTGTATATCTGTGCCATTTGCATGCAGTTGTCCATGGATGGCAGAAGAGGGCGCTGGATCTGGAACTGGAGTTATAGACAGCTGGGAGCTGCCACATGGGTGCTGGAACCAGACCTGGGGCCTCTGGGAGAGCAGCCAGCGAGTGCTCTTAACCACTGAGTTGCCTCTCAGGTCCTGTGTTCAGTGCTAAACTGTGGAGACAATTTAGCAGCTTGTGTTCTCAAGAAAACTTTAACTGTTTGGAGGTGGTGTTTGACAGACACTTTGGATTGTTCTTCAGGTTCTGTGAGGAACATCGTTGGTGCTCTGGCTGGGACTGCACTGAGTTGAATATGTAGATGTCTTTGGGTAGACTGGACTACTGGACAGGATAACAGTGTTCTACGAAGTGGCAGGTGGTGACTGCAAACTCCAAATATATGACAAGCTGTTGAACGGTGCACTTCAAGTCAGTGAGCTTTAAAGAATGTGCGTTACATTTCAGTTTTTAAAAAGCAGGACAGTGGAACGGACACCCCACAAGGAGGAAAGCAGAAACACTCCACAGTGGCCTCCCTGTGGCCTGGCAGGCTTGGAAGTAGTTTTGAAAATTTCATCACTTAGGGAATGGAGACAAATATAAGTGTCTATTTATTGGGAGAGAGTGAGTTATAAGAAAAGTAAGTTTGTCTGCATTAACTAGGAAGGTTGTATGCTGATAGGAGAATTGTTCTTTTTTACAAGTCCCTTTCTATAAATGTTATTTTTTTATTATTTTATTTTATTTTTTGGTTTTTCAAGACAAGGTTTCTCTGTGTAGACTCTGCTGTCTTGGAACTCACTCTGTAGACCAGGCTGGACTACAACTCTCAGAGATCCTCCTGCCTCTGCCTCCCAAGTGCAGAGGGATTAAAGGTGTGTGCCACTACACCAAGCATTTATTTTTAATGTATCCATCTTCAGATGCTAAAAACCCTGTCTAGAAACCATCTCTCACTTATTCTTACTCCAGCACACCAACTTCAGATAATGTTTACAAGTCTCTGAGGGAAACTCTGCTTCAAGGCATGTGAAGCAATCTCTCCCCTAACGTGTATGTTACAGTTTTTAAAGAAATAATTTATGAACTAATTTTCAAATCAGAAAACTACAAGTACTAAGTCTACTGGGTAATTAGAATGTGCACTGAGTGAGCCTCCCACAAAGAATAATGCCTTGCCAATGATTGCTATTTGCTCCCATAAAATAGAAGAAAAGAGAGCTCTCTAATCTAATTCAAAATGAGGGGAGCATCCAGATGAAAGGCAGATGACAGTGAGAAATGTCACAATAAAACCCACCACCTAGTACAATTAATATAAAAAAATTTTTTTTGAGATAGGGTCTCTCTATGTAGCCCCAGCTGCCCCAGAACTCGCTCTGAGGACCTGGCTGGCCTCCAAATCACAGAGATCCAACTGACTCAAGCTCCCGAGTACTGGGACTAAAGGCACATGCCACCAAGTCTGACCCCTATATGGACTAATTTTTTAAAAGGTAGATGACAAACTTTCTTTGGTATGTGTGTGTGCGTGAGCACATGCTCATGCCATGGCAGGCATATGGAGGTCAGAGGTTGGAGGACAGCCTTGGATGTCAGTCCTCTTTCTCTGTTGTTTGGGTCTCTTGTTTGCTGCTACATATGCCAAGCTGACTGGCTCCTGCTCTTCCAAGGATCTGCCTTGCATCAATCACATAATGGAAGCACTGAGACTTCAGCGTACAGAACTGCACTTGGCTCCCATCGGTTCTCGGCATCTGAGCTGAGGTCCTGACGCTCGCACAGCAAGCGCTTACGCACTGGGCCAGCTCCTCAGACAAACTTTAAATGAATAACAGTCAATACCTTCAAAGTCAATAGTACAGATGTATCTGTCTGGGTTAGAACAGATTAGGAATAGGAGTGCTTGGGGTGGGAGGGTGGAGAAGGATGCCGAGCGGAAAAATCCAAATCTTTAGTTGAACTAAAGACCTGTGAAGGTTTTAAATACACACTCTAAAATAACCTCTACCTTTAAAACTACTGGCTTTTATTCCTATAATTAAATTAGGCTTTTCTTTTCAAGAAAAACATTTAGTTGAATTATATCCTGAAGAATGCACAAAGGAACCAGAAGGACCAAAGAAAAGAAAATATGTATTGTAAAAGTGAGGACGACCAGAGCCTGTTGTAGAGGCTCATGCCTGATCCTAGCACTCAGGCTGAAGTAGGAGGATCATTGCTAGTTTGAGGCCAGCCTGGTCTATATGCCGTCAATTCCATGCCAGCCTGGGCTGCACAGCAAGACCCATTCACAAGCAGGCAGGCAAACAAGCAGATGTGACTAAACAAACATTTTGAAAAGAGACGTGAACCAATGCTCTTCACTGTTTGTCCCTCAGGTAGGCAGCCAGGGATATTTTGTTTTGATGGAGTCTTGATTTGATAATCACATGTTCTTTTCCTCCAAGACTTATTTTTATTTTATGTGTACAGGTGTTTTACCTGCATGCATATAAGCATACCACATGCCCGGTACATAGGATGTCAGAAGCGGGTATCAGATCCCCTAGAACTGGAGGTACATATGGCTGTGAGCTGCCATGTGGGTGCTGGGAACTGAACCCAGGTCCTCTGGAAGAGCAGCCAGTGCTCTTAACTGCTGAGCCATCTCTCTAGCAAGATCACCCATTCTCAAAGACACTAGAGACCTGCCTGACATTTGAGCACGATTTACTGATTTAATTATGTAAACTGATGCCAAAATGGAATAAAGGCAGAGAAAAGGCCTGCAGATTAAATGTTGTGCTGTCTCAGCAACCTGGGCAAAGCCACTGTAAGGACACATGGTACTTCCCTACTGCAGAACAAGGCCTTAATTATGCTTATTTCTAACTAGATGCTGTTGTAATTTTTTGCTGTGGCCAACTTCAACCTGTACTTCTGTCAAGAAAGGGACACAAACAAACCAGCAAAGAATGAGGTCTGTGTACAGTTTTGATTATAGAACTGAAGGAGAGTGGCTTCAAAGGCTTACAGCTGGGTTCGGTGGCTTTAAACTTCTTTAAACTGGCAATAGAGCCCTTGATCTCTCATCTGTCTGATGTTCAGAGCTTTATAAGCTGTGCCACACCGCCTTAGCTCTATACACATCTTGATGGGATCTTCAATAAAATCGAGTTTTATTCAATTCTTGTCCATAACAGGCATTTACTAATGTCTAATGAATTAAACACAAGGTCTTTGGCCATGTCTTCAAATAGCTCGTTAGACCAGAACAGTTTCTGGTCTGGTTCAGGGGGGAAAAGCCAGCCCAGGGTCAGTTACCAAAGCAGTCTGCATATCCCCTCTTTCCTCTGGAAATCACAAAGCAAATGATTTCTCACAATCCTGGGACACTGTGTATGCTTTCCCTGACCGCACCATAAGAAGAGCGGTCCCCAGAGCTCAGCAGTCCTATATCCTCATCCTGTGACTAAGGGCTGTGCGAGCGGGTAGCTCCATGACTACAGGACACACAATCCATTAGCCTTGGGAACTGGGGGGATTCACCGGAGTTCACTGAGTATTAAATCTTAAAACCTCGCCAAAGAACCCAGATGACTGTTTATGCCCAATCATAGGTTAAAATGATTAGGAAGCACTGTGGGGTGGAGGGGATGGACACAGGATGTTTTTTGAAATGGCATGGTAACCTTGCCACCTGAGTTAGGTTAAGAACAGGTAGCCTACCATCCCAGGATTTCTTTTGGAAATCTAGAAAGGGGAGTATCTGTGAAAAACAAACAAATCCTTCAAAAGACCTAAGGTTCTCAGGTTGGTTAGTGCTGTGTAAGGGTCAGGATTGGAAAGACTGAGCTTTGTAAAGTCCTTGGAGTTTGTCTGAAAGAGACATCTTTATCCTGTGGGATGCTCCCATGTTCCCGGCCTGGGTTGGCAGTGCTTTCAGGCATGGTCCTTTCTGGGGCTAATCTGCCCTAAATTATTATCTGTGCCCACAGGTAAATTAAAAGAAAATGCCGGTTCATAGAGAAGTATTCTGAGACATTCAACAGGGCTTTGTAAACTCTTCCTCAAAGGGGTGAGGTTTTAAGGAGAGCCACCACTCACCAAAGTGAAACTTCTGGACCGAGCACTGCTGCTCCGGCTCTCCAGACTGCCACCTCTGCTCAAGTCACTGAGCCTGCAGCCGGGCGACGCGTCAGAGTCCATCTCTACAGGCTCGGCTTTCTGCTGGTTCCCAGGCATCCCTACACAAAGCTGTCAACTGGCTGGCTCACAGGAAACTGGGCAGGAGCCAAGGTCCCATTCTGAGGCAGGGGAGGTCTTCTAGGGAAATAAAACACATAGCAGCAGTTAGTGACCTGAAAGAGGCCCCAGTGACCTGAAAGAGGCCTCATTGCTCTCAAGTAGAAAGTCAGCCCATACTCACAGACTAGAAGAATTAATTCTGTGAAAATGGCTGTCTTACCAAAAGCAATCTATAGATTCAAATGCAATCTCATCAAAATTCCAACACCAATTTCTTTTTTCAGAAATAGAAAAAAAACAATCTTCATCCCAAAACACAAAATACCTCAGATATGCAGATGAGGGTATACTTGGTCTGGAGAGATGGGTCAGTGGTAAGAAGGCCTGAGTTTAAAACTCCAGCACTACTAAGTAAAAAAGCCAGGCACCTTTTTTTTTTTTTTAGTGCAATGGTGTGTGTGTTGTGGGAAAAACAGGGTGATCACTGGGGTTTGGTGGCCAAATTCAGAATCTGTCTCAAAGATGGACAGTGACAGAGCACAACAGCCAGTGTCCTCTGTCCTCCACACCTGGAAATATAGCCCATCCCCACAATTAATAATGCCGAGCCATACCCGATTCAAAATTATGCCACAGAGCCATCGTAATGAAACCAACACGACAGTGACACAAAAACAGATATGGAGAGCAACTAGACAGTATATAAGATCCCAGTGACAAAGATGCCAAAAATATATATTGGAGGGAAAACATCCTCTTTAAACAGATGGTGCTGGGAAAACTAAATATCCACATGCAAAAAAAAAAAAAAGAAAAGAAAAGAAACTAGATCCTTCCCTCTGACCCTGAATGAAAAATAACCCCAAGTAGATCAGAGACTTTAATGTAAGACCCAAAACTCTGAAACTGAGAGGGAAACAGTTTAAGGTAAAGGTATAGCTAAGAACTTCTGAATGGAATCCTGGTCCACAGTTGGCAAATTTTGAAATCAAAATCCCTCTGCTAAACAAAAAGCCCCAGATAGCTGGGTGCAGAGAACCTGCAGAATTTGAGATGCCCTTGCTGACTATCCATCTGGCAGAGGATTAATAGCTAGAAAACTAACTCAAAAGTAAACAAGCTAAGCAAAGCAGCACAGGCTTTTAATCCCAGCATTCCAGAGGCAGAGGCAGGTGGGTCTCAATGAGTCTGAAGTCAGCTGGGTCTACAGAATGGGTTCCAGGCCAGTCAAGGCTACAGAGTGAGGCCTTGTGTCAAACAGCAAACAAACAAAAAGCTATTCAAAAACCTAAACAAAACAACCCACCCAAACAAGCAAACAAAGGGCCATATAACTGTACAGAGGTCTCCCAAAAAGAAATACAAATGACCAATAAATATTTTCAGACATGTTTGACACACTTAGCCATCAAGGGGATGAAAATGAAAATATATGGAGATTCTGCCCCCCAAGCTAGAATAGCAGTCACCCAGAAAACAAATGACAACAAATGCTGGCAAAGATGAGGAGAAGGAGGGACCTTTATCCACTGTGGGTGAGAGTGTACACTCACTTTGGGAATCAGAAGAGAGGGTTCTCAAAAAACTGAAAACAGATCTACCTACCGTCTGACCCAGCTAGACACTTCCAGAAAAACACCCAAAGGATTTACATCCCTGCTACAGACACTTGCCCGCTGCTGATAGTCACTGATCTAGTCACAATGGCTAAAAAACAGAACCTGCCTATACGCCCATCTACTCATGAACAGACAACAAAATACGGCAGACACATACAAGACCTACAAACACATACATACTTTTGAGAAAGGGTTTTACTATGCAGCCCTGGTTGGCCTGCAGCTTGCTATGTAGGCCAGGCTGGCCTTGAACTCACAGAGATCGATGTTCCTCTGCCTCCCGTATGCTGGGACTGGAGTCGTCCACCCTCCATGTCTGACTAACGGACTGAAGGAATGGAAGCATGGCAAATGACACCGTTGCTGGGAACTTGGAAAAAGAAGTCTGGCATCTTCCTTTGCACTGAGGGGCCGCTCTCTTAGGCTCTGGTACTTTCTCCCTCAGGCTTTCCTGCCTTTCTGCCTTAGCCACCACAAAACAGCTTCCTTCTCCAGTTAAGAGGCAGTGGCAGGAGCTAAGATGGTGGGAAGGATGGCTGACATCTCCAAGACCAAAGACTGTCTGAGGCCCGAGGAGACTGCAAGTCAACAGCAGGTGGAAAGTACTGTAAGGTGGCCCTACCAAGGAGGTCATGTTGATGTATCACTTCCAGGAACAAAGGCGTCCAAGGTTAAGAGCACTTACTGCTTTTCCACAGAACCTAGCTTTGGTTCCTGGCACCTACATGAGGTGGCTCACAGCTGGTGAAATTCCAGCTCCTGAGGATGCAGTGGCCTCTGTGGGCACCTGCTTACATACTGCACATATACACAGACACACACAAACATGCTGATAAACAACAATAGCTTTTAAAAGTGTCCCTTCTGCATGCATGTTCACATGAACAGACACTTTTTTTTTTTTTTTTTTTTTTAAGTGCTGAACCAGGCAGGATGGCACACACCTTTAATTGCAGGCAGGTCTCTGAGTTCAAAACCAGCCTGGTCTACGAAGTGAGTTCCAGAGCCATGAGGACTGCACTAAGAAACCCTATCTTGAAAACACGAAAGAAAAAAAAAAAAAGGAAAAAGAAAGAGAAAAAAGATCCCTGACTTTCTCAGCGGAAAACCCAGCCCAGTACCCAGCCACCAGATGGGTTCAGTAGAATATTGTAGAAGATGAAAAGGTGACTGGCAGGAGCATGCCTCTGGGGGCTGACTTAACAGCCACAGCTATTTGTGCGGAAAGTCAGTCAACAGGCACCTGCCAGGGCGGTGTCTCCGCCGGGGCGTGCGACAAGCCTCTCTGTAAGGACGGATTGAGAGAGAGATTCCCCACCCCACTTCTCTTCATATTTCAGTGACGGTGCCCAAGAATAAGGTTAGGAAACCAGAAGACTTGGGACTCCCAGCAGTGTGGGAAGCCACTCCAAGTGGCAGAAGTCGGAAGCTGAGCGTGCTGGTATATCCAACAGTGCGTGTGTGTGTGTGTGTGTGTGTGTGTGTGTGAAGAAGAGCATAAATTGGAAGGCAGCCTCAACTATATAACAAGACCCTGCCTCAAAACAAAAACAACAAAACTAGATGTGCCCATGTCCTCAGTCCCAGCACCTGGAAGGCAGAAGCAGGGGAAACAGAAGGTCAAGTCCTTAGCTACCTAGTGAGTTCAAGGCCAGCCTGGGTTATATCCCAAAAAAATCTAACCAAGGGAGTGGTGGTGCACATCTTTATTAGGAGAGGCAGAGGCAGAGGCAGAGGCAGAGGCAGATCTCTGAGTTCGAGGTCAGCCTGGTCTACAAAGTGAGTCCAGAACAGCCAAGGCTACACAGAGAAACCCTGTCTCAAATAACCAAAAAAACTAAACCAAAGCAAAGCAAAACAAAACAAAACAAAAAAACCTAACCAAACCACCACCACAACAAAAGTCGAAGGTTTTGAAAATCATTTAAACAGATATGTAAGTATCTAAATGACTAACAGCACATAAGTCAGGCTTTCAGATCTACAGGGTCAAACTCCAATACATTTAGTCTCAAAAAAAAAAAAAAAAAATTCAAACATCGAGCATGCATCTAGTATAAACACATACGGCAGACCTACCAAGAGTGCTGACAACAGGGGCCACACAACCATCAGAGCCAAGCAAAGGCAGATGCATGCGTTCTAGCTATGCTCCTGGCCGCGGATGGGCTGGAGTCAGGCTTGGTGAGCCAGCCCAGGCAGTGAAGGCAGGCTAATGCTTGCATCCTTCCTGTGGATCCCACCCACTGACTCAGCTAAAACTGGGTCCTGACCTGAGTGAATCACAGCTCCAAGGAGACGGGATGTAGTATATCCTTCCCCGGGAGTCCGCAAGGTGAGGGCGGGATGGGAAGTCTTGATTCACCCACACACTCCGGAGCTCCCCAGACTGCGAGACTGCTCAGGATCTGTGCCGGTTTGAGCAGTGCTGTGGCGGGCAGCACGTGAGCCCTGGTGGTGGGGCGGGGGGGAAGTGGCTGACCACACCTTTCCAGATGCCTTCTCTATGTGTTGTTGTGATTTTAAAAGCTGAGAAACTGTAACATTTAGATTTCTGTAGGCTGTTCTCTCAAAAGCATATGAGGAAGCTAGGCAGGGTCTTCCATAAGGCGGACATGGCAGAAGAGAAGGCGAAACCTTGGTTCTACATTGCTGATTTCTAAAAGAATCAAGAATTTCGAAGGTCTCAGAAAAGACTTCTGAGCTCAAAGGTCTCAGAAGGGACCACTGAGTGCCTTGTGGAGCTCCTGTGCCCTCCAGGTCTTTCTATCCCCCTGCACTCTGCCCAAAGTTTGGCTATGGGTCTCAGCATCTGCTTCGATACCCTGCTGGGTAGAGTCTTTCAGAGGCCCTCTGTGGGCACCTGTTTTATCACTCTTCTGATGTCTATCCTGTTTGCCTTTCTGAATGAGGATTGAGCACATTACCCAGAGTCCTCCTTCTTGCTCAGCTTCTTTAGGTGTACAGATTTTAGTATGTTTATCCTATATTATATGTCTAATATCCAGGGGTCTTTTCTGAGACTGATACTCCAACCAAGGACCATGCATGGAGATAATCTAGAACCCCTGCACAGATATAGCTCATGGCAGTTCAGTCTCCAAGTGGGTTCCCTAGTAAGGGGAACAGGGACCATCTCTGACATGAACTCAGTGGCTGGCTCTTTGATCACCTCCCCCTGAGGGGGGAGCAGCCTTACCAGGCCACAGAGGAAGACAATGCAGCCACTCCTGATGAGACCTGATAGGCTAGGGTCAGAGGGAAGGGGAGGAGGACCTCCCCTATCAGTGAACTGGGGGAGGGACATGGGAGGAGAAGGAGGAGAGAGGGAGAGAGGGAGGGGGCTACAGCTAGGATACAAAGTGAATAAATTGTAATAAATAAAAATATTAATAAAAGGGAAAAAAAGAATCAAGAATTGGAAGCTCCCTAGGAACTGCACACACAGAATTCCCTGGTCCACTGCGAAGAGCAGGTTTTCTAAAGGGGTGAACAAAGAGGCAGCCTCCATCTACCCCGGAATAGGACCCACTGAGATGTAGAGCAGACAGGATGGACAGTACCGACCAAGCCATGGGTCTGTGAGAGTTATTACCACTTTGAAATATTTATTCTCATTGTCCAACCTAGGGTCTCTCTGAGTTTACACGAAGTACATATTAGAACTGTGAGGCTAGGGTCAGCAGAAGGTGTGAAGAAACCGACTCTTCTCAGGGTCTGGGGGTGGAAAGCAAGCTTCAGCAAAAACTCAAAGCCTTTGCTTCAGGAAAAACTCAAGACCAGAAACACAACCACATCTCATATTTTTATGTTTCCTAGGCTTATTTCCCATTATTTACTAGAAGCGCCCCACCCTCAGTTTATCCTCTTAGTAACGAGAACAAGGCCAGGGCCATTCATCATCTTGGCCAGTCTGCCTCTGGCCAGCATGGTTCAGTCAGGAGGACAACCAGCTGAGGGGAAAAGTCCTACACTAGCTGCTGAGCCAAATCTGTAAAGAACAAGTGACGCCCTCCCCTGCAGTGAGTTTGCTGGAGCCAGAATTAAAAAAAAAAAAAAAAAAAAAACCACAAACAAACAAACAAATCTTATTTTCTTCTTAACAGGACATTCCAGAAAGACTAGCATACCCCAGAGGGTCTGCCTACAACCTTCCTTCCACCACCCCACTGCCTGTCAATACAGACAGTAGGCCTACAGAACAACCCAAGCAACTATGTCTCACCATTGTTCACCTGAAAACCACAGAGTCTGTGCAATCTCAGCGCTGACGTCCGCTAAAGGCCTGTCCACAGGCCCAAAGCTTTGAAGACACTGTTGGCCTCTCCCTCGTCCCGTCACTCGTCTCCAGCCAGCCCTGCACATTCTCGCCACATGTCCACTTTCTTCCCAGCACCCACAGTACAAGCCCACTATGGCCCATGCTGACCCATTGCCAACCTGCCATGCCCATCTCAGTATTCACCTGTCTTCCCCTTCTTCTTCACATGCTCTGGGCATGATTACACTGGATCAAACCAGATACACGACTTGATGTCACCACTCTCCTAAAGCGATGAACTCTAACCCCCTCCCTACAGACTTCAAGATCAAACAAACTGCAGCATGGTTAAAATTTTGATTTAATCAGTGTTTGCAGCATACCAGGATGAAGCAACCTCATAATAAGCATTCCACCAACCAGGTATGGTGGCTCTCAGGAGGCTGCGGAAGGAGGCAGGAGAATGCAGGACTGTCCTGAGCTACATACTCAGATCCTGTCTACAGACAACAAACATTCCTTTAATTTCATAAAGATACATGGAAACTGCTGACGTACTGGGCCCAAGCAAGTCTTGGCACATCTTGGTACTGACATTAAGAAACTCTATTTTTGACAATATAATTGCATTACATGTCAATAAAGGTAACTAGGAGAATTCATGTGTGTAGCCATTAAAAACAGTTCTGGGTTTGGAGTGATGGCTCAGCTGTTAAGAGTGCTTCCTGCTCTTCCAAAAAGACCTGAGTTTGGTTCCCAGGCCCCATGTTGAAAAGCTCATAACCACCTGTAACTCCAGCTCTTGAGGAGTTGATCTTTTTTTCTGACCTCAGAGAATATGGACACACACACACACACACACGCACAAACACACATGGCATATATGTAAACATGTACATAAAGTCTAAAACATTTAAAAACTTAGTTCTAAATAACTCTTGGAAAGTGTACTAAAATCGGAAAGTATTTAAAGCTAGATGGTAAGAGACGGTAAGAGGGCCGTGAGACATGGGACTAGGATGACGTCAACAGTAGTGACATCAGAAAAGGAGGCAGGAACAAGATGAACCAAGTTCATTCCAACTTAAGCTGGGGGGAAAATCACAAATAAACCGAGTGGATGGACAGAAAAGACATGAAAACAGAGAACCTGGATTTAAATAAACAGAAGAACACCTTGGAACTGGGGAGCCCTCGAATCACCTCAGCCCCGCTCTTTGATCCTCTCATTCCTTCCTTCCCCATTCACAGCGATTTTGAGAACTTGTCTCCCAAAAACTAGGACAAAAAACATAGCGAAAAAATGGTCTTTTACGTGGTCCTGAGAAACTCTCAATATGATGACATAATAACCAAATGACTTCTTAAAAGATACTCTTTTTTTTTTCTTTGACCTTCAAGAACATTAAAAAACTGCGAGTGTGTCACAGTAGGAGCCATTTAGAATGGCCATGGCTGGTTACCATGAGTGGGCTTTTCATATGGTTAAAGTGGGTGAAATGGAGACAAGCAAGCACAAAGCGGCCATTGTGGGTCTTGGAGCCAGTGGCTCTTGACAACATTTGTTCCTATGAACAGGCACCCCAGTGGCTTCTGTGAGGCAGGCATTCTGCTGCTTTTACAGCAGGATGGGAATCCTGCCTTCATAGACTCTATTTGGCTATGTTAAATTCCTCTGTGCATGCAGGTGATGTGTGCTAACAAGAAAGAGTTTTATAACGGAGTTTACAAAAGAAGAAGGAAGAAGGGGAGGAGGAGGAGGAGGAGCAGAAGAAGCAACAGCAGCAGCACAGTGCTTACTATTTCAGTAAATTTTTCCGTTGTTGCCCTGGCTGCCCTTGAACTCATAGAGATCCGCCTGCTTCTGCCTTCCCAGTGCTGGGACTGAAGGTGTTCGCCATCACCTCCCAGAGGCCAATCTATTCTTCATAGAAAACAGATTCCCAACATCCTTTTCCATTATTCAAAAGAACCTGAAGGATTAAAAACAAAAATCTTAGTTATTCCTAGTCTATTTTCTTTTCTCCATTAAAAATAAATAAGCCACAAAATGTAACTAATAAGAAATAAATAAATAAATAAATAAATAAATAAATAAATAAATAAATAAGCAAGCAAGCAAGCAAGCAAATAAGCCACATCCACAAGACAGCCTTACTTCAGTCATCACAGCACGCTGGTTAGCTGTGTGCACCCTTCTCAGTCACTCAGAAAAAGTGTAGTCTAACTTTCCACAGCAAGCTGGAGTTTGTGGCCCCTGCTCCTTCCACACCCAAGTCGCCCATTCAGAAACCTCAAACTGACCTAGCTGAAAGCTAAAAGCAGCTGTTGGTCCTGGGAGTCATTCTCACTTAAGAATCTCTACTTTCAAAGACTTTCTTAAACGCAAAACAAATACTCCTTACCACGGCCCCCAGCAACCTGCCAAACACTTGGACAGCCCTTCTCACACTCCCAATTGCTCTCGAAGCACAGACCCATCAAGCCGGCGGCCTCTGCATTCCCCGAATGTACACCGCCAAGGAACCTACCTGTAGGCACATGTAGGGCTTGGAGCGGTCCTCTAGATCTGGCCTGTCCTTACCTCTTCCATCTAAATTTCCACAACAACGAACCCCTTTACTTCGCCCAGACTCCTGTAATATGCCAATCCCTACAGCTTCCTGTTGCTCTGTCCTCAGCTTTTCAAATCCAGCCACAAAACTGCATCAAACTTACCCCTCCTTCCTCCGTGATATATCCATATTCTCTCCCCACAGTACACACACTTCGGGGCTTGAGACATGGTCTCACTCTCGCAGCTCAGGCTGGCTTCAGACTCTCTGTGCACCACCGGAAGGCCTTGAACTGCCCCTCCCGCCTCCACCGTCTGAGTGCTGGGATGACAGGTGAGCACCACCAGGCCGTTTCCTTGGTGCTGCGGCTGAACCCAGGGCTTTGTGCATGCTGGACTATCATTCCACCAACAGAACCCCACTCTAGACCCTGCCCCTCCAACTTCTGCGTCTTCCTGTTCTTTCTACTCCATCCATTCGGCCTTGCTGTTCATACTCCACCACCGTCAATGTGGGAGGATACCTCTGTCATTCCGCAACAACTGATCTCATCAGGTTTCTGCATGTGACCCTTTTTGCTTCAGCTAGACTATGAATTTCTTATCATTAGAGGGGTGTGTGTGTGTGTGTGTGCATGTTCGTGCATGATGACACCTGTCACCAACTATAATCATTATCCGTTATTTAACTATACCTCCCCAGCATACGCACTTTTTTTTAAAAAAAGAATTAATTTTATTTTACGTCCCTTGATGTAAGGGTGTCAGATCTGCTGGAAATGCAGTTTCTGACAGTTGTAGCTGCTGTGTGGGTGCTGGGAATTGAACCTGGGTCCTCGGGAAGGGAAGCCAGTGCTCTTAACTGCTGAGCCACGTCTCTAGCCCCATCCACACTTTTGAGACAGGTTCTCACTACATAGCCTGGGCTGGTATGAGTTCACAGAGGCCTGTTTGTTTCCAGCTCCTGCATGCTGGAATTAAAGGCATACACCACCATTCCCAACTAAAACCCCACATTTTAAAACTCTAAAATCATCTTCTTTTCTTGGGGAGGGAGATTGAAATCCTAAAAGTAAATTTGTTTTCTGAGACAGGGTCTTGTATACAGCTCAAGCTGGTCTGAAACTCTTCACCTTCCCGTGATGGTCTCAGGATTTTGTTGTTGTTATTGTTGTCTCGTTTTTAGCAGTATGAGGGTTCAAAGCCAAGGCTGCAGAGCCTTGGTCATGCAGCAAGGGCTCTACCACCACTGAGCCTCATCTCCAGGGAGCCCTGAAAACAGATGTTTTGAGCTCTCAAAGTTCAGAGGCTGAAACAAGAGAAGGAGAGTTCAAGGCCAGGATGTTCTACATAAAGACACACTGTAATCCCAGCACCCAGGGAGGCAGAGGTTGTAGGAGCTCTGTTAGTTCGAGGCCAGCTTGGTCTGTAAGCAAGTCTAGGACAGCCAAGGCTACACAGAGAAACCGTCTTAGAAAAAACAAAACAAAAAGACACACTGCTGTTTGTTTTCAGTGCTGTCTACTGGACCCTAGCGTACTGTAGACATATCGAGAGGAACACACACACAAGCTCTACCTTGACCCTGACCCTCATCGTTCCCTTGAATAGGGTGCCCCTCAGTGCCCTCCCCCACGGCAGTGGGGACTGACTTCAGCCTCTCACATGCATGTTGGAGAAGCACCCCACTCCTGGGCTACACCCTCAGTCTTTTCAAAAATGCTTTTATTTTGAGACAGGGTCTAAGCTGACGACTGGTCTTGAACTTATTCTGCAGCCAGGCAGGCCTTAAACTTGTGATCCTCCTGCCCCAGCCTCCTATTATGGGATTAGAGACCCGTGCCAACAGGCCTGGCAGTATTTTAACTTCTGACACGTTTTATGGAAAAATCAAAGACCTCAAATCTTAATAGACGCTCCACAAAAAATGTAATGAAAGCCTAAGATGACTGTTAATTTGATCTTTGAAAGCATAGGCATTTCGATTTCTGCTTTTTAGAAACAATCTTTCTGAGCAATGGAGAAAAACCATAATAATTTCAAACTGTTTTTTTATTAATACTTTCAACTCCTAAAAGGAGGTAATGAGTGAAGGTCACATCACATGAACATAAGTGATGGGTCTACACTGAGGCAAACAAGCTGGCCAGGCAGCCTGAGACTGTGGGCTGAGTAACACTTCTCCTGTCAGTAGTTTACCGTTTCTGGGCAGGAGATGAAAAGCAGATGCCCCTAATCATGAAGACCCTACCTGAAGACAGTCTAGTTAGTAGGAGCGCACTCTGTGAAATGAAATGCACTGGAGTCCAGACAGGCACTGCAAGCTTTCACTCAGCTCGTATTTCAAAAGCTGAAGCTGACATTTTAGATGTGGTTTAATCTCAGTGCTCAGAGGCAGAGGCAGGCAGATCTCTGTGAGTTCAAGGCCAGTCCGGTCTAGATGTGGAGTTCTAGGACGGCCAGAGGTACATAAAGAGACCCTGTCTCAAAACAAACAAAAACAACATCCCCCAAACAAACAAAAAACTCACACACACACACAAAAGCCTATTTTCTTTCTATGGTTTTAAAAACAGAAGAAAATCCCAGCTTAAGCAATTCTTTTATTCAACAAATCCTGCTGAGCGCCCACTACACGCTGCTCACCAGATAAAATGTAGTCCCTCAAACTCAGGCGCAATGATTACACCTTCTTGTTTTACAAAGCCTTTTGTTGCCCAGGAGCTTAAAATCCCCACCTGAAGTTTTCTCCCGGGGATTTTGTTTACTGGAGTATTCCTAACACTTGGTTAGACTGGGTTGTGGTGATCTGCTTTGCATATCTTATCTCAAATGAACAGATCTGAATCTGAACCAGAAGTAAAGCTCCTACAAGGCCTCTCGCTGGGCCCAGTTGTTTGTCTGCTTGCTTGTTTGTTTGCATTGCTGGGAGTAGAATCCAGGCCTCTGCATGTTTGACCATCATGTACCCTCGTCCCCTGTGTAGAATTTTTAGTTGCATCTCAACAGAATGTCTTTGTTAGCTTTTGTGAGAGGAGAGAATGCAGACACCCCACCTGGGGACAGACACACAGGTTCCTCCTCCCCCTGCACACCTCCAGGGACAACTTTTTTTTTTTTAATTATGTATTTATTTTTATTTCATGTTCATTGGTGTTTAAGCCAGCATGTGTGTCTGTGTGAGGATGTCAGCTCTATAGAATTACAGACAGTTGTGAGCTGTCATGTGGGTGCTGGGAGTTGAATCCGGCTCAGTCTGGAAGAGCAGTCAGTGCTCTTAACCACTGAGCCATCTCTCCACCCCCCAGGGACAACTTCTTGATGCCCTCATAAGTTGGCCTGTGAGTAGAGTCCACACTTCAAACAAGGGGCTCTTAGCTCCTTGTGAAGAAGCAGGACCATCAGTGTTTGCTGAAAACACTGGACGGCTAGGGCAGTTAAGATGTTGCTATTTTCAGAGTTGGAAGGGCTGCCTATGAACCTCTCCAGGAAAAACAGCACCTTCAAGAAGTTCAAGAGGAGAACTTGATAATTATTCAAATAACGGAAGGGTCAGCTGCAGCTTGTAACCTGATCAACCATCTTGGAAAATAAACACCCTGCTCACACCTCACTGAGGAGACTAGCTAAGAAATACAGATTTCAATACATACCACACGCTTCTTGCTGTGTTCTATTTTTCTACAGAACGAGAGATCAAGCGTGCCAGGCAAATTCTCTACCACTGAGCTACAGCCCAAGACCTTACCCGTGTGTTTTTCTTTGATTTCTTTCCTTCTTTTTTTTTTTTTTTTTTTTTTTTTTTTTTTTTTTTAGGTCACTGGCTAAATTCTTGCTGTGGCTGAAAAAGGACAGACTGATAAGTGGTCCAAGCAGACGCAGTTGCCATGTGGGCTGAGTGGGCTGGAGAGATGGCCCAGCCGTTAAGAGTACTAGTTGCCTTTCCTGGACCTGGGTTCAATTCCCAGCACCCACATAGCAGCTCTCAAATGTCTGAAACTCCAGTTTCGGCGGATCGAAAACCCTCACACCAATAAACATAAAATAAAATTAAAATTAAAGAAAAAAACACAGCTGAGTGCCAGTCATCACCAGCAATCAACACAAATGTTTTTATAACTGGTTTGGTAGTTACTAATGTAAAATAGTGCAGTTCTGATTGAAAATAGTGAAGTTCTGATGTAAGAAGGTTCTTTTGGTTTTGGGTTTGATCCTCCTGCCTCAGCCTTCCCAGTGCTAGGATAAGAGGTATCTGCCACCACAATAGGCTTTAAATTTTTCAAACACCCACTCCCTTAGGTAGGAGATTAGTAGGGAAAGGAGCTGTAAACCTCTTTTAGCCACTTCCTACTGATAAGGGTGGATGGGTTCTTTGGGGATTACCAAACTCAGACCTCAGGATGCCAGCAGTTTAGTTAA